GGTTCTCTGTAGCTCAGTTGGTTAGAGCTTGACAACTGTCTCTCTGTAGCTCAGTTGGTTAGAGCTCGACAACTGTCTCTCTGTAGCTCAGTTGGTTAGAGCTTGACAACTGTCTCTCTGTAGCTCAGTTGGTTAGAGCTCGACAACTGCAATGTCTCTCTGTAGCTCAGTTGGTTAGAGCTCAACAACTGTCTCTCTGTAGCTCAGTTGGTTAGAGCTCAACAACTGTCTCTCTGTAGCTCAGTTGGTTAGAGCTCGACAACTGGCCTCTGTAGCTTAGTTGGTTAGAGCTCGACAACTGTCTCTCTGTAGCTCAGTTGGTTAGAGCTTGACAACTGTCTCAAATAAAAAAAACTCTCGAATAAAAAATTCACGCTCGAATTTCGACCTATATACAAAACCCTTTATTAACAAATTAGTTATATCGCGTATATAAATCCCAAAATCTTGATCTGCTGTCATTTCATTGTTTTCGTTTGTATGAACATTTTTCATTACGCAACGTTCAACAATGTAAGAGAGATCTGGCAAAACCCCCTCGGTCAAACACAATGTTATATTTGGCTGTGTTGTTAAGATCACTATATAAATATATCCCTAGCAACGCCGCACGCGTGCTGATTACATTGTATTACTGAAACAGGTGGACCGCACAACGAACAAAGCAAAAGATACGAAAACACTGCAACTTGATTATACGAAATCAGACATATAAACGACGATTTAGATAACACAACTTTTGCCTAAAACTGTCGCATGCAACCTGCTTACAACTTGAGTTGTACTGTGTAAATTAAGCCCATAACTTGCCCATACGTTGCCTCAGACGAATTGGGCCGGTGCTTGATTTACGTCATAGTACAACTCAATGGACCATTTGCATTATAGACTAAATTTTGATCTAGACAAAAATTTCATCACAGCTTGAAAGAGCATCATAAAATTAGTAATATTCCAAAGTTTCGTTGCGAAATGTTGTAAAATGCGGATAATATAGCCTTGCGAAGTTTGCAATTTTCACTCATTTTGCATTACAAACGGGAAATTGATGCCCCAACACCCGTTTGGGCTGGCAATTTCCCGTGCGTAATACAAAATGACTGAAAAACGGCAAACTTCGCAAGGCTATATTTTCCGCATTTTACAACATTTCGCAACGAAACTTTGGAATATTACTAATTTTGTGATGCTCTTTCAAGCTGTGATGAAATTTTTGTCTAGATCAAAATTTAGTCTATAATGCAAATTGGTCCATTTGTAAGCGAGCTGCATGCGACTGTTTTATATCGGTCGGCCTTAACATGCAAACGTCTGACTACTTCTATCTGGCAAAAACCGAATTCAATAATTGTTTTATTATTTATTTAAAAGATTCAACGTTGAATATGGTTTTTTCATATGGAGTCATGCACAAACGTCCAAACTAACATCTGAAAGTTGAATTAGTTTAGTTTGCTGCCAGCAACTGTATAAAGATAGATATTCAAACAATCTTTTTATATGCTCAGGGAAAAATTTCATGAGACACGATAACAAGAGTCCCTTATGAACCAAATTCCAGCCATTCTATATATGACGTATTTTTTATTTTTAGTATGTGATGTCATTCTCTCGTGCCTAGCTGGAAGTCTTCGCTCCTGTTTGAAACATCAAGGCGTTGTATTTCCCGAAGACGTCACAGTTTACTATCCGATGAATTTGGAGAGCAGCAGCACCCTGAGATGCTTTACTTCGTTCAATATCTTTTCACTGCCTGTTGGGACTGAAGGTATGGTCAGAAATTTTGTTTCCTTCTGTAGTAACACCGGATCAATAAGAGATGATCCTTACTGGACCTCTTGGGAGAACAGTTTAGAACTGATAGAGCTATCCAGTATAAATAAAGTTAGTTTAGTTTGGGTTTCCTGCTGTAGTAACACTAGATCAATAAGAGATATTCTTACTGGACCTCTATAGGAAGAACAGTTTAGAACCGATAGAGCTATCCAGTATAAATAAAGTTAGTTTAGTTTAGGTTTCCTCCTGTAGTAACACTGAATCAATAAGAGATGATCCGTACTGGACTTCTAGGAAGAATTGTTTAGAACTGATAGAGATATCCAATATAAATAATTTAGTTTAGTTTAGGTTTCCTCCTGTAGTAACACTGGATCAATAAGAGATGATTCTTATTGGACCTCTAGGAAGAACTGTTTAGAACTGATAGAGATATCCAATATAAATAATTTAGTTTAGTTTAGGTTTCCTCCTGTAGTAACACTGGATCAATAAGAGATGATCCTTACTGGACCTCTAGGAAGAACAGTTTAGAACTGATAGAGCTATCCAGTATAAATAAAGTTAGTTTAGTTTAGGTTTCCTCTTGTAGTAACACTGGATCAATAAGAGATGATCCTTACTGGACTTCTAGGAAGAACAGTTTAGAACTGATAGAACTATCCAGTATAAATAGAGTTAGTTTAGTTTAAGTTTCCTCCTATAGTAACACTGGATCAATAAGAGATGATCCTTACTGGACCTCTAGGAAGAACAGTTTAGAACTGATAGAACTATCCACTAGTCACAACTTCACTGTCGATATTGACTCATTCATTTCTCTCTATTCCAGGCGCCATTCCTCGACTTTGGGAACTGCGGTTACGTCGTAGCAACGTATCATCTTTTGTCGAAGCCATCACGAGCAGTACCATCATGCAATTGGCGTTTCTAATTCTCCCAGCGTCCGCTGCGACCCGACTTCTTGAATACGTCATGAACAGAGCCTCTTGTTCCATAAATTGCATATTGGGTCATAACTTAGACCAGGACTTGCTGCTTGACGGCAGCCCCGTCGAGAAGTTCATTCCCTTAGAAGACAGAGGTTATGGTCTAAGCATAACCATTATTGAATCTAAAGATTCGTTTCAACTGGCCGTCCTGGCGCCAAGTTCCCAAGACTATGCGATAAAGCCCGCGCAGCTTTGCGTGGAATTTGCGCGACACACGCGTGTGCTCAGCGCGCGATTGACAGAACGCGCGCGCGTCGTTCGCGCACGAGGACAGAAAATTTTGAACAGTCGTCGAAATAGTGTTTTTATTGTGGAAGAGAACGACGGGTAAATGCTTGTATAAATTATATAAATATGATAAAAATTTATAATTAAAACTATATCCCCAATGAACTGTACATACTGGATTGTCCGAGTTTAATAATTATTTTTGTAATTGTTATAGATGTGCAAACGAGTTGTAACAAGGTTGTTGTGAAGTCGATATCAGGATATGTTCGCACTGCTTGTTCCCAGTTGTTGCGACAAGTCTGGAACAAGTTGTTATCACCTTGTTACAAGGTTGATGACGGTAACAGACTTGCTACAAGTTGTTCCAACAAGACTAATACAGGCTGTTCGTAACAAGTTGCTACGAGCTCGTTGTCGTCGACGTGTTACGTGCAGACGATATCAGACTTGTTGGAACAACTTGTTGCGAGTCTGTTGGCCTCATCAACCTTGTTACAAGGTGATAACAACTTGTTCCAGACTTGTCAACAACTGGGAACAAGCAGTGCGAACACATCTTGCTGAAAAGTTGTGAGATCAATAAGAGATGACTCTTACTGGACCTCTAGGGAGAACAGTTTAGAACTCAGTGATAGAGCTATCCAGTACAAATAAAGTTAGTTTAGTTTAGGTTTCCTCCTGTAGTAACACTGGATCAATAAAAGATGACTCTTACTGGACCTCTAAGGACAACAGTTTAGAACTGATACAGCTATCCAGTATAAATAAATTTAGTTTAGTTTAGGTTTCCTCCTGTAATAAAACAGGATCAATAAGAGATGATCCTTACTGGACCTCTAGGAAGAACAGTTTAGAACTGATAGAACTATCCAGTATAAATAAAGTTAGTTTAGTTTCGGGTTCCTCCTGTAGTAACACTGGGTCAATAAGAGATGATCCTTACTGGACCTCTAGGAAGAACAGTTTAGAACTGATAGAGCTATCCAGTATAAATAAAGTTAGTTTAGTTTAGGTTTCCTCCTGTAGTAACACTGGATCAATAAGAGATGATCCTTACTGGACCTATAGGAAGAACAGTTTAGAACTGATAGAGCTATCCAGTATAAATAAAGTTAGTTTAGTTTAGGTTTCCTCCTGTAGTAACACTGGATGTCTGGATCAGTAAGAGATGACTCTTTAATACTGGACCTCTAGGAAGAACAGTTTAGAACTGATAGAGCTATCCAGTATAAATAAAGTTAGTTTAGGTTTCTTCCTGTAGTAACACTGGATCAGTAAGAGATGATCGTTACCATAAACCTCTAGGAATAACGGTTTAGAAGAGCTATCCAGTTTAGCCGTGATTCTCCCTCCAAGACCAATCCAGTACTATAGAGCTCAGTAGCACCCGCTTTGCATGCCGGTATACCCCACCCGAACACGCTTCGACAATAAAAGTCCCCCCAGCAGCGTCTTCCGAAAAGCAAAAAAATCTAAAATCCTTTAGAAAAGCCTCGTGTTTTTCAGCATTTTTCTTGACGAGAACCGTAAACGTGCACGTTCCGCGTACCTTGGAAGCATTTCCCAAAACCCATCTGCCTTTTGCGTGCAAAAGAGAGCCGTTGAAAGCGATGGAAGCCGAAATTACGAGGTCGAACGACGAGTACTCGCTCGCCGAACACGACGTTGCTCAACAAATCGACATCTCCGACACGATTCCGAGCGAGCACGAAGGGGTAGCTGAGGTTTATCAAAACACGACAGAAAGTAGCGAAGAAGGACAGCAAGCAGCGATAGAAGTCGCCAACACAAGGTTCACTTTTCCTGCTTCTACAAGCACCGTTACCCTATCGACGAGTGCCGATGGCAGCCAGCCACCGGCTGTGTTACACGTCCAACAAATTCCAAACAATTTGGGGCCCATACAAAGCGAAGCTCTTCGCGTTGCAGGTTTGGAAGCCGCTGCTAGTCTCTCTCAGATATCACAAGGTTGGTTTTAAGTTCTGTCTTAGGAGATTCTGTATGTATAGATGTGAGGTTTATATAGTACTAAATAGTGAAGTCATTGATGTTGTTTACGTGTAGTAGTTTAGTGAAGTCGTTGATGTTGTTTGCGTGCTATTTTGTTTACATTGTCGACCTTCATCTGTCATACAGGAAAAATTTAGATTCCTTGAATGGTTTCTGAAGGTTTACCATGTATGCTATCAATGTGACCATACGGCCGGCTATTTAGGGGCCACATTCATATTCATGTTTCCACAAATAACATCGAATCGACCTTATTTTTTCTCCCACCCACCAACTCCAGATAACATCGATCGTTACACTCAGTCGTATTTTGACTTTTGTATTTATGATACAAAATCTGTACTGTGATAGTTACTTTGGACATTGATTGCCAAATTGCCACCAGATTACGTTGATAAGTTCACATAAAAACCCACCCACGCATATCGTCGATTTGACGTTATTCCTGGCAACATGAATATGGACGACGTGGCCCCTTAACCTAACCTTTTCAGAATTAGAAAAGATGGGGAAACATTTCAAGAAATAAAATGCTAAGTCAGAGAAAACACAACCCGACCCGGACTGCATTTTCACTTTCCGAATGCAGGGCCATTGCCATATAGGCTAATGGCAAGCTTGGAAAAATCTAACACAAACAAAAGTTTTTACGTTTAATTAATTAACTATAGTCACTATACAGACACTTTAAAAACTCTTATCATTATTGGTCATTATAGAATTCCCATGTTATAGAATTTCCAAATTGCTGAACTGACATGATATTCAATTTTTACCATTAATTAACTCATTGAGTGGCAATGTGCCATGATGCTGTAATCCACCCTACTTTATTATTTTACTCTGTCTAATGCCAGACAAATTTCACCTATTGAGCAGGAGAGTTCCCTTAGCCCAATGGAACTGTTGATTCTGTTTACCGTCCGAGAATTTAAAAAATCTGATGCTGGTTTTTTTCATTATTCATTTTTGTGGCTAGCCCGTTTGCGGGCTAGCCATTATCACATAGTACACACTACACAAACGCGATGAGCGATGATGATCATGGTGTCCAGTCCGGATTTTCGTAAAGTATCGGGAGCAATCGGAAGCGCCCGTATTTTTCTGCCGACATTTCACATTTGCATTTCGAGGCAATACTAGTGATGTTGTTAGTTTGTTACGACGCAGTACTGGTGAGGTTGTTAAACCAGAAAATTAAAATAAAGTTTATCTTCATGGCTTCAACCTATGGTGACGAAACCGATCAGAAATTGCGCGTACTCGCCGTGTAAATATGGGTTTTGATTTGCACTTTTGACTGATTTGCGGGCCATTTGCCATCTTGAATTGTCTTCTTGTTGAGATTTCATATCTCAATTGCATTCGAAATGTTTGGTATTTTAAAGAAGGGTATTGTTTGGAGGAGGTACGTTTATAATGCAGCGAATAAAACCAGCATTGGATAATTATGGTAAAAGACCAGAAACTGTACATCGAACTCGTTTATTTAAAGGCTTTAAGTATACCTTTCTTCAGACATTGACGGCGTCTCAAATGTCTACATATTTGTAATAAACCTATAAAGGTTATTGCGTCTGTCTTAGGAGTTATATAGTCGAATAATTCAGCATGATTTGTCTCACGTTCTCTTATAAGTTGACTTATATTGCATTAAAAGTGGCAAAAGTTGGTGTGCTAACCAAGATTTCAGTGTATTTGTTTGCTAATATTGCTAGGCCTATATCGCAAACGCTATTTGCCTATTAAAATATCATATGACACGCAATTTTAATTCCACGGCAAAACTGCTGCTGCGCAAATAACAAACGCGAGATTAAATATATGGCAGTATTACAGTTTAGGTATCTTTTAAATTGCTAATAGATCACACGGAAACTTTTTACAATCGTTATATTCAAAAGCCTAGCGCGCAAATTCACATATTTGTGTTTATTCAAGTGTTATTCATGAATTCGCTATTTACATGGGAAGCGACGAGATATGACACGGTATTTTTCAAGTGTACCGTGAAACTCCACTGACAATATGAGCCTGCACAAGTGGGAGAAAATTTGCGCATTCCGACCATCGTGGTGTGTCTTCTTATTACTATTAAATTTAAAGTTAACCAGCATGGCAGGCTTTCTGGGTTTGGAGGAGGGTTTGGGGAGTTAAAGTTTACCAGGCTAGCCACATGTACGCATTGCGTACCTATTTTTCATTATTTTTGTTATCTATTTTCCGACCAAAAGTGATCCTTGATCTCGACCATCAACACTTTTGTCCAGCATTCTGTTATTATTTTTGGGCTTTCCTTTGTTGAAAATTTCTTTGTCACCCATTGTTTTTGAATTTGCATATATCAGACTCGCGAATTTACGACTGTACCGAACTGATCCGTCATACATCAGCGATGTACGGCTTTTTATATTGAAGATTTGATGTATATTTGAAAGTTTCGATGCGTAGAAGTAAAAATAATGACAAATGATAAATATCATTAAGAATAATGAAAAAGTCTTGCGGTAGTTGCAGGCACATGCGGGCGGTGGACGGTAAACAGAACCTACAGTTCCATTGGCCTTATGAATAAAATTGTCTGGCATTTGACAGAGGGCCAGTTTATATCGACAATTATAATATAGCATTTGTAAATTCTGAACGCTGATTGGCTAAGAGCCGTGTTGATATAACTCAATGTCAACACGGCAAATTTTCCGCCGCTTGTAAACACGGAAATTTTTCTTATCCTTCGGGCTTTTGACATTGCTATATTATAAAAAAATATAAAACATTTTTTCCGTGTTGATATATAGTTATATTGATATACAGTTATATGTTGATATATAGTGATATATAGTTATATCAACACTCGTGGAAGTTGGGAAAACTCAAAATTGTATGAAAACACTCCACCCTTCGTTGTTAGCTAGTCCATATACTGTCCGTTTGACGGACTCTTCCCAATTGAAGTAGTTAGGGGGCTTTCCCAACTGGAAGATTTTCATTTTTTCTGATGAGAAAGTGCATTGCATTTGATTTTATATTATTATATCAAAGAACGTTTTATTTACTTTTTCCCATTAACTATTTTCTCAAAATGTACCGCGTTCCATTAATATTTTGTGTGTATTCACTGAAATGAAAAGTGCAAAACAAAGTGTAATCGGTGTGCATCCGTGTTCATTCACCGGAAATGAAATATACAAAATGAAGTGCCATCGGGTGCATTTTTCAGTGTTCATTCACCGGAAATGAAAATAATGTACAAAACCAATCTACCGCTGTTACTTGTTTGCATGTAAGAAGAAACATGTTGGAAAAAACACTATTTATTCCTACACAAGGACTTTGATCGGTCAAAAAAACTTTCCCAATTTACATTTAACGGACAAAACTTTCTTTTTCTGGCAAACACCCTGAAGGTACAAATCATTGGGCAAGAAAAATTGTAAGATAAATGCTAAATGTAACCCTTTTGAAATTTTGTATTTTATTTTATCCAGGGATATTACAGGCCGAAGAGGGATATAAAACACCCGAACCAGGGCAGGTTACGGTCAATGTTCCAGTTAGCCAAGCCGCCCAAGCCCGAGCAAAATGGCAAGAGGCGATGAACAGTGACATCTTGATCGTGCGATGCCGTGAGGAGGTGGGCGAGATGCATAAAAATAAACTCGGATCAGGAGGAAGAGGGAAATGTGTAAAGGTGGGTGGGGTTTTGGGATATGGGTGTTTTTTTGTGCATAGGTACTCTGAGGTGTAACCATGGATTCTAAAATAACTTGATAGGAAACTTCCTGACGTCACAGTCTCCATGGATTCTAAAATAACTTGATAGGAAACTTCCTGACGTCACAGTCTAAACCTAGTTGCAATCTGTGATGTCACATGTATTGCCAAAGTTCTCGGCACTTTTGTTGTTTCACTATATTTTCCACTTTAAAAGAGTAATATTGAAGCATAAACTGGTCTAATTGTTTTAAAAAGATGCCTAAGCCACGACAAAGTATTCAAGGTAAATGTTTTTGTCTTTGTTTTGTATTTTATAACATTTGTAGCTACGAAATTGGTGTGACGTTGCCAATTTTAAGGAAATTTGCGATGCATTTTTCACTGTTTAGTGCTTGAAATATTTGCTAAAATTGACTGGGAATACTTTATAGAGATTTCCTCATACAATGACGTAGTTATATTTATTTAGTGGTAATTTGTGAATTTTTGGTATGCTAGTTTCTCACGTTTTTAATGTTTGAAAGTTAGAAATTTTGTCAGAAAACGTTGAACTACCGTTGATATCATATGTAGACTAGATATGGCATCTCTTTTAGTAAAATTGAAGCCAAGAATGTTCCAGCGGTTACCCCAATTTGAATAGATGGCGGCCATAATGGTGGCATCCCACTCTCTAATAAACGCTTAAAAAACAACAATAACTTTCATCATTTGAATAGTTTAAAAATGTATTTGGAATAGGTTTACCTTAATATTTAAGTTCCCTGTTTAAGAAATAGAAAACATACAAATCTTCTCATTTCATGGGAATATCCTGAGTCTGCAATCACGGCTTCAATTTTTGAATTGTAGAATAATAAGTTGCACCCCTTCCCAGTTAATCCGCCCATGGTTTTGTTCTAAAGTTGTTCATTCTGTTCTTGCAGCACAATGGCAACTGGTACACTCCAAGTGAATTTGAAGCGTTGTGTGGTCGAGCCTCTTCAAAAGATTGGAAACGCAGTATACGTTACGGAGGCCGTACGTTGCAATGTTTGATTGAAGAGGGGATCATCATGCCTCATGCTCTCTCCTGTACGTGTTCAACGTGTTGTGACGACAACACTCTTGCTGGCCCTGTGCGGCTGTTTGTTCCTTACAAGAGGAAGAAACGAGAGTCGTCTGATAGTCCGATGAGCAAGAAAAGACTTTCTCTTGCCGGTTAGTAGAATTTATTTTATATAACACCTTATTAACCCATTAAGCGCCAGCACTCTCCCCTTGACAAGTAAAATCATCTGGCATTGGACAGAGTAAAATACTAATAAAAGTAGGGTGCAATGCGACTCAATGGGTTAACTAGACACATGGGCAGATAGCCCAGTTAACCCATTAAGCGCCAGCGCTCTCCCCTTGACAAGTAAAATCGTCCGGCGTTAGACAGAGTAAAATAGTCTGGCGTTAGACAGAGTAAAATACTAAAGTGGGGTGCATCAGGGTGCAATGCGACTCAATGGGTTAACTAGACACATGGGTAGATAGGCCAGTTAACCCATTAAGTGCCAGCACTCTTCCCTTGATGAGTAAAATTGTCTGGCGTTAGACAGAGTAAAATACTAAAGTAGGGTGCATCAGGGCGCAATGCGACTCAATGGGTTAATTAATGATGTTTGTGATGTTACTCTGAGTGTATATCCACACCGGACAAGCTTGAAAAATATGCCTGGCCACGGTGGGAATTGAAAAATGTCATCACTACCATGGTGGAATTACCCTTAATTTTATCCATATTATTTTTAATCCATCATAACTCAAATTTTTATTTGTTTTTTTGCAGGATTACCATCGCGATCAATGAGGTGAGTCAACACTTAATACCAAACAGAACTGAAATTTTTAAATTTTTTTTTTCTGTGTCGGTATTGTATACTCAGGTGAATAATATGTTTGTGATGTTACTCTGAGTGTATAACCACACCGGGGGAGCTTGAAAAATATGCCTGGCCACGGTGGGATTCGAACCTACGACCTCTGGAATACTAGCCCAGTGCTCTTCCAACTGAGCTACGCGGTCAGGACGTTTTGAGTAAAATATCTATATAAAAAAAAATTCCTAGAACACATTGGTATTGAAGGAACTAGATTCTGTTCCGAAATATCACTTACTCGAACCGTCCTGACCGCGTAGCTCAGTTGGAAGAGCATTGGGCTAGTATTCCAGAGGTCGTAGGTTCGAATCCCACCGTGGCCGGGCATATTTTTCAAGCTCGCCCGGTGTGGATATGCACTCAGAGTAACATCGCAAACATAGAACTGAAATTGGCTGTCCACAAAATACTGATACCTACACAGATGATAAGAAATGTTAACCCATTAACAGGGCGCGAAATAACGGCCGGTCAACAGACAATGCCCAGCCAGAATGCGGAGTTGTCCAGTCAAATTCTTACCTTGCCGATCATTTTGACCGCTCACTTTCGGTAAAAGAACAAACTAATCTTCATTTCAATTAATAATCAAAACAAAGTTTTCAAGTATTATAATTAAGAACCATAAGATGTTGTCGAATATTTTGCGGGAAAAGAACTCCAATGTGCGGTAGCTATTCCACGTCACACAAAGCGCATGGCCATGCTTTTGGTTTACAAGTTAAAAGTCATGCTTTTAGTGCAATGTAAGCTGTTTTATGTGAAGGAGTTTTTAATTACTGAATACAGTATAAGGCTAAAAAGATGGGAAAATAGTCACATTTTTAGGGGTATACTTACTAGGCTTTGCTTTAAAGGACATTGGCAATAAAAAAATGGTTTGTCTCATTCAAAAGAACTCTTAAAATTATATATTAAACTTTATTACCGATTTGTCATATCTTGCTTAGTTCTCGAAATATTTAGACCGAAATTAATGAGCTGTCCCGCCATCTTGGAAAAATTCTTTACCTCATTAACTATGGTTTTGATGACGTCAGGAGTTGGGTTAACCATATAAAACTACTCGAAAATGACCGAGTAACAATCCAAAATTGTTTGAAATGTTTTTAATCATTTCTAAATTTCAGACAGCAACCAGAAACGAAGTTTTGGACTCATATTGATCGCTTACTCTCAAGATAAAAACTTAGCGTGACCCCTCTCTTGACGTAACATGCATATCCTCAATAATCCAAGATGGCGAACAGCTCACTTTTTTCAGTCGAAATATTTTGAAAACTAAGCAAGATCTAAACAATCTGTAATAGAGTTTAATATATAGTTTTAAGAGTTCTTTCAAATGAACTAAACTAATTTTTTATTGCCAATCTCCTTTAAGCTGAATAATTTGACCGGCCAGAAATCCGGTATGTCCAAGCTAAAATTGAGTTGGCCGGTCACCTTGACCGGTAACCCTGCAGCTGTTATTTCGCACCCTGATTAAGTTGTATTGCTTCCCAATGTGTCGCACAGTACTTTATTACTGTACATAGCGCCAATCAAATGAACAAGCTTTCGTTGCTGAAAAATGTATTAAGACCAGTCACTGCAGTGTTGTAAAAATTACTGAAAAAAAGTAACGAGTAGAAATTAGGAATGCTCGATATGAGAAATTTCCGGTATTGGTATACCGAAAAAATTATACCGATATGATCGGTATACCGGTTTTCCTTTGATAATTATAAAGGAAAATTCTTTAATGGAAATTTGAAGGTAATTTTGAGTAATTCTAAAAGGGAAAACGATAATTTTGAAGCTGTTTTGAAATCTAAATCATTTCAGTAGAAAGTTCTTTGAATTGCCATTCAGTAGTAAAATAAAGGTTATGGTTTTGCCATATAGTTGGTAAATGTAACACAGTATACCGAAAAATTCCGGTATATCCGAAATTTCGGTATACTGTATCGGTATGGTTGAATATCCGGTATCGATATACCGATATTGATTTAATACCGATATTTTCGGTATATCGGTATACCGAACAATCCTAGTAGAAATTACAATTACTTCTCCTAAAAAGTAATTGATTAGATTTACAAATTACTTTACCAGAAAAAGTAGGTAATTACCAAGTACTAATTACATTTCAAAAGGTAATTAATTACTAATTACTTTCAAAATTACTTTCGTTTTACTTTTTGTATTTAAATCATGCTTGCCGCTTTCGACTATTCACAACACTAAATTGAGTAAAATTATTTCGCGCAAAATTGCTGGGAAATTAAAAAAGACATCAATACATGAAGTAATGGTGAAGGCTCACGTCGCATTTTGCACATATTGCAGGCTTATTTGAAAAATATTCCAATTTTGTAAACATCGTATTCGTAGTAGTTCACGAGTTCTTAAACCAGGTAGCATACAAAAACGTTTTACTACCTTTTAGATTATGTACAATTAATGTTGAAAAGCAACTAAGAAAATTTTACTCGTTGCCTTCAAAATGCAATTAATTACATGCTTGTGAAGCATCTTATTCACCTGAGTACACTACATTACAGCAATTTTCGTCCAAGCACAAACCGCAAACATTTTCGCGCGTTTGTTTACGTTTGAAACGGGGCGTTTACCGTTGGAAACGGAATGTTTCACTGCTCATGTGACGTGTTATAGTGAAAAGCCTAATTCAGTTATTTTTCATGTTTTCATGTGCTTTCGTGTACTTTTCAGTATTTCCAAGCTCACGATATTGTAAGAGCGACCAAACTTGTTTATATTCATACTTTTTGTGACTAAAACGTATTATCATGGGCTTGGAAATATTGAAACGTGCACGGAAGCACATCAAAACATGACAGTTGCGCCAAAAATAGCTTAAGGCTTTTCAATGTGATTTCAGTTTCCAACGGTAAACGCCCCGTTTCAAACGTAAACAAACGCGCGAAAATGTTTGCGGTTTGTGCTTGGACGAAAATTGCTGTAACACAACAAATACCATAATTATTAGATTACATTGGTATCGAAGGAACTAGACTCAGTTTCGAAATATCGCATCTCGAACCGACCTGACCGCGTAGCTCAGTTGGCAGAGCATTGGACTAGTATTCCAAAGTTCGTAGGTTCGATTCCAACCGTGGGCAGGCATATTTTTCAAGCCTGCCTGGTGTTGATATACACGCAGAGTAACATCACAAGCATCTTATTCACCTGAGTACACTACACCAACACAGCAATTAATTACGTTACAAATTACTTCAGTAAAGAAAGTAAATTACTATCAAAATTACTCAAAAAGTATTTTGTAATTAGTAACGCGTTACTATTGGAACGAGTATTTACAACACTGCCAGTCAGATCCGAATTCTTTTCTCTGTATCTATGGAAAGATCTGGTCTATGTTTCTCAAATATCTATAGCGAAAATGGACCCCATTCTAATGTTATCTAAATTATCCGGTCAGATAGGTTCGAAGTTCAATTGTTTTGACTTCCATTCAACAATTTGGCCGGTTTGGTCGTGTTAATGGAAAGGGCCCCTTATCTTGTATGCTATAGGCCACATTGTTATACCATAGCAAGTTTGCAACACCCAATTTGCTTCTTATAGATAGATAGATAGATAGATAGAATCTTTCTTTCGAACGATTATGCTTGAAGCATAAAGATTACGCAGCCGTTTCTACCTCAAGGGCTTGAATTTTATCGCGGAGAACAAAATGCCGTGTATCATTGCGGCAACGACGGCAATTTTTTGCCGTGTGGTGTAATTTTTGTACTATTCACTGTGCATTACTATTTTGATGCTGGAATTCAGATGTTGATCAAATCATGCGTAAATTACTATTTTAGTCGCAGTTTTTCTTCGAAAGAAAAAAACACTTAAAAAGAAATACGTATTCTAGCTTGTCAACAATCCAAAGTAACAGTAACGCCGTTGTCGTCGATTGGTTTCAGGGAAATTCGACGCCTAGCCAGGGGGATATTGAATCTAGAAGTTAAGAATGTTTACCAATCAATCCCATTCCTTTTTAAAGGGGCAGTATCATCAAAATTTTTATTTTCTGAAACGAAAGTGCTCGTAAAACTCTATAATAACTTGTTTTGAAGATTTTGGTTCCCATGCTTAGCTCTTGAGATATTTCATTTTGTTTGTAATCATGTGACGTCATCTACTCAATTACATCATATAATGAGATATCAGCAATTGTTGTGCATCTTTGCTATTTTTATCAAAATATTTCGAAAGATGCGGCGCGTTTGTTAATTTAACCTGCATCATTAAGCATACCGTGTTTTTTTTTTAACAAATCCATCAAAAATAGCAAAGATACACAACAATTACTGATATACAGATGCACAGTAGTGTGGAATATGTTGCCGGAGTACATTAAAAATAGCGATAGTAAATACATATTTAAGTGCAATCTAAAATTATATCTTCTTTCTTCTGAAGATTATTAGTTGTACTCACAAAAAATGTAAATAAAAATAATTTATAACTTTATAAAGTTAATTTGTATTAGTGTACCTCATATATCTTGAACCTGACATTATCTGACACTATTCTCCTTTGTTATATTAGTTTGTTTTTAAATTTTTTAGGGTGGACTACTAGAAAAGCCCTGACGGGCTTGTTAGTCTTCCTTCCATATGGATTGTATCTTTATATTTTATCAAAACTGTAACTGTATAATGGCAAAATAAATATCTATCTATATCTCATTATATATGTAATTGAGTAGATGACGTCACATGGTTACAAACAAAAGGAATATCTCAAGAACTAAGTATGGGAACAAAAATCTTCAAAACAAGTTATTATACAGTTTCACGAGCGCTTTCGTATAACCTGCCTCAAAATATACGAATGCTTCGTTCGTTACCACTATTTAAGAATTCCTTAAATTATTATTATAATTTGTAAAATGACTCCCACGCGGCAATCTTGGAAATCAGTTGTAATTATTTTTTAATATTTAATTAATGTACTGAAGATTTTACCGTGTTAAAATAAGGTTTTATTGTATTGTATTGTATCGTTTAAGCTTTGGTTTAAGAGAATATAAATTTTGATGATACTGCCCCTTTAATGATAAAGGCCAAGGTGTCTGTGGTCAATGCACCCTACGGCAATTTTGAACCTAATCAGGGGCGAAACTTGAGGGGGGAGTATGGGGGGGGGGGTGAAATCATCTGGATTGGCAGGGCAATCAAAGATTGTAAATGATAGAATGTAGAGTTAAGTAACTTAGAGGGTTTTCTGAGGGAATTTATAGAATTCATAGACCTAAATTTTACAGATATTGGTCCAAAATAACGTCTCCTTAGCGGTGAATGAGGTGAGGTTATACCTCTGACTCCAGACGAAGAGTCTTCGCTAAACACGTTGAAATTCTCCATCTGCAACCGTTGCAAGCGATGGTAGTTACATCCTTAGCAACAAAAGCTTGTCCTTTATTATTTTACTCTGTCTAACACGGTTTTATACTCTTCAAGGGGAGAGTGCTGACATTTAATAAGTTATAATATTCTTTCTTTGTTTTAGTGTTGATTCAGCGTGTTCAACTCCAGGCCCTCTTACAGGAGACGATACTGTTACAGTTGATGGAGGTAAGATATTTCCAGTATCAAAAGATACAGTGGACCTATTCTAGACAAGTTTAGACAAACATTTCATCACAGCTTGAAAGAGCATCACAAAATTAGTAATATTCCGAAGTTTCGTTGCGAAATGTTGTAAAATGCGGATAATATAGCCCTGCGAAGTTTGCCGTTTTTCAGTCATTTTGTATTACAAACGGGAAATTGACAGATCCAAAGGGTATTTGGCTGTCAATTTCCCCCGCATAATGCAAAATGACTGAAAAACGGCAAACTTCGCAAGGCTATATTATCCGCATTTTACAACATTTCGCAACGAAACTTCGGAATATTACTAATTTTGTGATGTTCTTTCAAGCTGTGATGAAATTTTTGTCTAGACTTGTCTAGATCAAAACTTTGTTCATTAGGGAATAGGTCCATTTGGAAAAATTATTTGAATCTTGGCAATGAATTTTCGAACCCCACGGTGAAAACACCGCACTTGATTTACATTTCTAATTCACTTTTTATACATTACTCTGAATTTCTATTTAACATACAAGCCTCTCTCTATTCCTGGACTAGGGTACATTTTGATTTACTTTGGGCAAAGGTACAGTTAGGTCGGCCACCAATACACTCGGTCGGACAAACAATAAACCTTCACTTTGGTCGGATAGAATGTCTAATGGCTTCTTCTCTACGTCGGACAATCTGCCCCACAGACCGTTTTTTTAAGGACTGCATGTATTCAACAGAACCCCCCCCCCCCCGCCTCTATTTACGAGTCTGATTGAGTTTCAAAATATTTTCTCAATATTTTCTTAAGCGGATTTAAGTACTTTGTCAGCGATAACAGCAGGCTCTGTCTCTGTTGTTCCAGTTGGATTTCAAACAGCGACAACACAAAGCATGTCAGCTTCGGATCTACAAAAACAATGGTGGCATCTTGAGGAGGTATGTGCTCAACATACTGCCGATTTCGATTTACCGTTTCAGGGCTTCCGTTTCCGGTGATTGTTTTAACGTTAAAACGAACAAGTTGCTAAGGGCCAATGTCAATGTTACTAAGTGAAGTCTAGTGGTCTTTGTCCGTTGTTTTCTTATCCGTTGTTTATCATTTGTGAATGTAACTGTTATATTCGTATTTATCTCGTCATTGGCAACATTTTGATATATAATTTACGAAAGTTTGTGGATCATTTCATGTTTTTATTGATATTTTGGAAATTGTAGCGTATAAATGGCCAGTAAATAATTTTGAAGCCTTTTATACGCTACAATTTCCCAAATATCAATAAAAACATGAAATGATCCACAAAGCTTTGTAAATTATATATCAAAATGTTGCCAAAGACGAGATAAACACGAATATAACAGTTACATTTACATTTACAAATGATAAACAACGGACAAGAAAACAGCGGACAAAGACCACTAGACTTCACTTAGTAACATTGACATTGACCGTTAGAAACGTGTATGTTTCAACGGGAAAACAATTACCGGAAATTAAAGCGCTGAAACGGTAAGTCGAAATCCGCAGTATATTCACTCCCAGGGTATTCAATACAAGCCGGTAGCCAGTAGAGCTTCGTCGGATGACGTAAGGTTTACTGGCGGGGTTTTTTTCAGGATTTTTTTAGGACCGTAAAACGGCCTCAAAAACTCAATCTTGAATTGAGTTTTGAAACTCAATCTTTTCACCAAAAGACTAAGTGCATTAAAAATAAAGTTGTTTGAGTTAAATTCGTGACGTGTGCAAATTAGTTTTCAGTTGGAAACCCCACGATCAAGAAAAATGCGTCTTATTATTATTAATTAACAAGTGGAAATTTGCAAGTGGAAATTTATATACATTTATTAGATTGCAAGGCAACAGGTTCGATTCCTGTCAGGGACATATAGTTTTATTTTTTACAACTGCTCCTGGTTATAGGTTTAATAAATGTATTAAATTTACACTCGCAAATTCAATCTACAGGAGGAAACCTAAACTAAACTAACTTTATTTATACTGGAGAGCTCTATCAGTTCTAAACTGTTCTTCCTAGAGGTCCAGTAAGGATAATCTCTTATTGATCCAGTGTTACTACAGGAGGAAACCTAAACTAAACTAACTTTATTTATACTGGATAGCTCTATCAGTTCTAAACTGTTCTTCCTAGAGGTCCAGTAAGAATCATCTCTTATTGATCCAGTGTTACTACAGGAGGAAACCTAAACTAACTTTATTTATACTGAATAGCTCTATCAGTTCTAAACTGTTCTTCCTAGAGGTCCAGTAAGAATCATCTCTTATTGATCCAGTGTTACTACAGGAGGAAACCTAAACTAACTTTATTTATACTGGATAGCTCTATCAGTTCTAAACTGTTCTTCCTAGAGGTCCAGTAAGGATCATCTCTTATTGATCCAGTGTTACTACAGGAGGAAACCTAAACTAAACTAACTTTATTTATACTGGATAGCTCTATCAGTTCTGAACTGTTCTTCCTAGAGGTCCAGTAAGCGTCATCTCTTACTGATGCAGTGTTACTACAGGAGGAAACCTAAACTAAACTAACTTTATTTATACTGGATAACTCTATCAGTTCTAAACTGTTCTTCCTAGAGGTCCAGTAAGGATCATCTCTTAATGATCCAGTGTTACTACAGGAGGAAACCTAAACTAATTTTATTTATACTGGATAGCTCTATCAGTTCTAAACTGTTCTTCCTAGAGGTCCAGTAAGAATCATCTCTTATTGATCCAGTGTTACCACAGAAGGAAACCTAAACTAAACTAACTTTATTTATATACTGGATAGCTCTATCAGTTCTAAACTGTTCTACCTAGAGGTCCAGTAAGGATCATCTCTTATTGATCCAGTGTTACTACAGGAGGAAACCTAAACTAAACTAACTTTATTTATACTGGATAGCTCTATCAGTTCTAAGCTGTTCTCCCTGGAGGTCCAGTAAGGATCATCTCTTATTGATCCAGTGTTACTACAGGAGGAAACCTAAACTAAACTAACTTTATTTATACTGGATAGTTCTATCAGTTCTAAACTGTTCTTCCTAGAGGTCCAGTAAGGATATCTCTTATTGATCCAGTGTTACTACAGGAGGAAACCTAAACTAAACTAACTTTATTTATACTGAATAGCTTTATCAGTTCTAAACTGTTCTTCCTAAAGGTTCAGTAAGAGTCATCTCTTATTGATCCAGGAAACTTTAACTTTATTTATACTGAATAACTCTATCAGTTACTGTTCTGTAAAGTCAAAGCCTGTATGTTTTATTTTTTGTAGACAGTAAACAACATCATTACGACAGCGCAACAATTGAGAAACATGCTGTCTCATGTAAAAATGCAAGTGGAGAGTGTCCGAGATAATTCTGTGGCGCAAGCCAAGCTACACGCTGAGGCTGAAAAGAAAGAGGTATATGCCCCGTTGTTTTTTGTGTGAAATACCACACCATTTTTTGAAAATGCGAAAATGTCGTACTCGTCGGTAACATGTTTTAGGCATTACAGAATCTTTTATTTTTTGCATCATGAAAGTTTTTAGCGGTGCAATACAGCACGCAAAATTTGAACATAGGTCACCAGACAAAATAGAGAGAGGTATAGCGCATTGTTTTTCTAAAATGGAAAATTCTAATGACGTCAACAATTGACATAAAACGCTATAGAACACGCGCATGCAATGTCGTGAGATGGCGCGAGCAACTGCTCACGTCAGGTCATATTGGAAGTTCTTTCATTTTGTTAATCAGTTTCCGCAACCTGCGCGTAAAAAATGGTCACCCGGTTTTGTTCGCGATTCTTGAGCAGGGTTTTTGTGATAATTATATCGAGCCACCTTAAGAAAATATTTAGAAAAAATTTAACCCTTTACGCTACAATAGGCCCTGATGCACCTGACTTGATTATGCCTAACGCCAGACGATTTTGCTTGTCAATAGGAGAGTGCTGGCCCTCAATGGCCAGACCATCTGCCTATGTGTCTAGTTAATACATTAAGCTGTATTATATCCAAATGCCCCCTACTTTATTATTAAACTCTGTCTAATGCCAGGCAGTTTTACTCATCAAGGGGAGAGTGCTGACGCTCATTGTGTTAATTAGACTAGTTAGCCATTAAGTCATAGATATCTTATACACACTAGATAGCGCATCTCTTTTAGTAAAATTGAAGCCAAGAATAGCGGTTACCCCTGTTAGAATAGATGGCGGCCATGTTGGTCGTTTCCACTTGCTAATAAACGTTTAAAAACAACAATAACTTTCATCATTTGAATAGTTTGAAAATGTATTTGGAATAGGGTTAACTTAATGTTTAAGTTCCCTGTTTGAGAAATAGAAAACATACGAATCTTCTCGTTCCGTGGGAACGACCTGAGACTGCAATCACGGCTTCAATTTTTGAATTGCAGAATAATTAGATGCACTATCTAGTGTATATAAGATATCTATGACTGTAAGTCAAGAATATATCCACTAGTCAATAAATCTCGCAAAATATAACGATATTTATACAAAATTACAATGCATGGAAAATAGCACTTCTAGGCGAATAAAAGTATATAAGATATCTATGCATTAAGTTGGATGGATCTAAATATGCTAAATTAAATTTTCATTTTGTTCTATACCTAGGTGTTGGCACAGACTCGCATGAACTCACTGATGCAGCTATCACGGGCTTTGATGGAAGCAAAACAAGAAAAAGAAACTGCCGTGGCCCAAGCTTTAATTGAAGCCAAAACAGAACGTCTTGAGAATGCCGCCGATGCCAAGCAACAAGAATTACTTAAGGTGAGTGAAGGTCTGGCTCCTTTATCGTCAAGTTTGCGGCCTTTAGTTAGTTTTGAGCACAAAAATTGGGGGGATAATGTTTCCATCGTTCGATTTTTTGGTATTCTTTTCTTCGCCATTGCTCATGTATCGCATCGTTCACAGTCAACTTCTGTTCTTGTAAATCAATCTTGCGCAAACCACCATCTGAGCAAACCATCTTAACCTGCATTCACCGAATAATAAATTGATAAATGGCGCTTTTAAAATAGAAAGTTTTTATTGGGTTGGTAACATAAGCAAGATGGCGAAAGAAACTTACACTACACCTGTATTCTAAAAGCACACTCACACTCAATGAGTGGAGGTTCAATCTGAGCTTCTCTCGAGTGTCATTGCTGTTTTTGAATAGCGGGTTAGTGTCGTACCTTACTATGTGACTACTCGCCCTCCAGCTATTCAAAAACAGCACTGACTCTCGAGGGAAGTTCAGATTGAACTTCCACTCTTTGAGTGTGAGAGTATGAGTGAGCTTTTAGAATACAGACGTATGAGTGCTTGTAAAACTAGAATTGAAATAAATGTAATATATATCAGCGAAAAGCAGCCGAGCATTAAGAAAATTGGTCGTCATCAGTTGATCTGGTGATAATTTTGCAATAAGATTGAAAATAACAATTATAAAATTTGATGTTTGTGATGTTACTCTGAGTGTATATCCACACCGGGCGAGCTCGAAAAATATGCCCGGCCACGGTGGGAATCGAATCTACGAAATATCACTTACTCGAACCGTCCTGACCGCGTAGCTCAGTTGGCAGAGCATTGGGCTAGTATTCCAAAGGTCGTAGGTTCGATTCCCACCGTGGCCGGGCATATTTTTCGAGCTCGCCCGATGTGGATATACACTCAGAGTAACATCACAAACATCATATTCACACCTGAGTACACAACACCAGCACAGAAAAAAAAAAGCAATTAAAATTGTTAACGAGAGATTTTATTAAAATGTAACAAGCTAGCTGAGTGGAAAGTTTTTTTAAAGCAATTTTAATTCCGTTAGGAAATTCACGTAATCCAAGTGGAACAGAACAATGGTATTGATGAGGAGACGGAGGAGATTGTCGAAGCCGTACAACAACAGTGACGTCACGTTTTAACGCATTTCTTACTTGTTGCCTAGCAACGTCATTAAAACCAACAATGAAAGTCAGCGGTAGAGCGACATTTTGAAAAATCAATAGTATCAGGATATTTTCACTCGTGATATACAATTTTAAACGGGACCTCCGTGCTTGTTTTATCATACAGGTATAAAACACGAGTGTCTTATATCTGATAAACCACGGAGTGTTTTTTATGTGGTCATTGAATGTTGATTCATTTCACAGTTGGAATTTTGCATAGGTCAATGGACCATTTGCATTATAGACTAAATTTTGATCTCAACAAGCCTAGACAAAAATTTCGTCACAGCTTGAAAGAGCATTACAAAATTGGTAATATTCCAAAGTTTCGTTGCGAAATGTTTTACAATGCGGATAATGTAGCCTTGCGAAGTTTGCCGTTTTTCAGTCATTTTGTATTACAAACGGGAAATTGACAGCCCCAAAGGGTATTGGGCTGTCAATTTCCCCCGCGTTATGCAAAATGACTGAAAAACGGCAAACTTCGCAAGGCTATATTATCCGCATTTTACAACATTTCGCAACGAAACTTTGGAATATTACTAATTTTGTGATGCTCGTTCAAGCTGTGATGAAATTTTTGTCTAGACTTGTCTAGATCAAAATTTCACTTTTAAGGGGAAAGGTCTATTAGACCAGTTAACCCATTAAGTCATAGATATCTTATATACACTAGATAGCGCATCTCTTTTAGTAAAATTGAAGAAAGAAAATCTGGAATATTACTAATTTTGTGATGCTCTTTCAAGCGGTGATGAAATTTTTGTCCAGACTTGTCTAGATCAAAATTTCACTTAAAAGGGGAAAGGTCTATTAGACCAGTTAACCCATTAAGTCATAGATATCTTATATACACTAGATAGCGCATCTCTTTTAGTAAAATTGAAGAAAGAAAGTCTGGAATATTACTAATTTTGTGATGCTCTTTCAAGCTGTGATGAAATTTTTGTCTAGACTTGTTGAGATCATAATTTAGTCTATAACGCAAATGGTCCATTCTAAGTTTCGGAGGATTTATGGGAAATGTTTAAGGAAACTGACTTGGTGTTAATCACCGAGTTAGTTCCTTCAAACATTTCTTACAAATTTTTTAAAACTTACAATTGACCTATGGAAAATTCCAACTGTGATCGCAAAATCTTCGATAGAGTAAACTGGGCTTTAATGATGTCTTTCTGAATTGACCATTTGCGTAATAGACTAAATTTTGAACTATTTTGATCTCAACAAAAATTTCATCACAGCTTGAAGGAGCATCACAAAATTAGTAATATTCCAAAGTTTCGTTGCAAAATGTTGTAAAATGCGGAAAATATAGCCTTGCGAAATTTGAAATTTTCAATCATTTCAGATTACAAACGGGAAATTGACAGCCCCAAACCCTTCGAGGCTGTCAATTTCCGGTTTGTAATCAAAAATGACTGAAAATTGCAAATTTCGCAAGGCTATATTTTCCGCATTTTACAACATTTTGCCACGAAACTTTGGAATATTACTAATTTTGTGATGCTCTTTAAAGCTGTAATGAAATTTTGTCTATTACGCAAATGATCAAAATTTAGTCTATTACGCAAATGGTCAATTGTTAGGGTGGTCCCTCATTCGTCGTTAGTGACTTGTGAGTGAGTCTAGTCTAGCATATGTTGAAAAGTCACTTTGTTGGCTATTGTAGTATCATTGCATCTTTGAAGGCATTGGTATTTTGTAAATAGATTTGAACTTAATTATTTGTATTGTGGTAGATTAATTCCATAAATTGAGCAGAAATTTTTTGTGTTGTCTTAATTTCGATATATTTTGAAAATACGACATACTGATGAAATTGTTTTGTGAAAAACCATGATGCATTTAAAAAAAGCATTTCTGGTTACCAGATGAGCGCTGTTTAATTCGCATATCTAATCCGTATTTCTTCTAACTTTTTGAAATTTTAACCTTTTCCTTGTCTGAATATGAAACCGCCTATGCTTCCTCAATCCTTTAGGCTTAAAATTATTTTTGTCTCTTTGGGATACCCTTGTTATATCTCCCATCCTCTGTGGTCCCTTAATGTCTTTTCGTAGCTCTGACAATCCTTCTGTGACCCTATTTGTTCCCATTTTGTTCCCATTGCTGCTCCTTTTGTCTTCGTCTTCAATGTTCTGTATGCATCATGAGTGCTGTTTCTTAGGGACAAATAGGGTCTTGTTATCACATGTTTCCTCTGTAGTCCCCAAATGTTGCTCCTTATCACTGGCGATCCCACCTGGATCTGGTGTGTATGCCCCTTAGGCCAACCTTCTATCATGGTGTTCAGCTGTAGTTTTGAACCGCCAGGCAGAGTTAATCGGGCCAGTGGAACTTTTGCAGGGCGTGTCTCCGGGCCTTGTACTGGATGACTGTGAATAATTTCTGTTACTTTGTGGATTTGTTGAACTGCCAGAAAAATACAGGGAAAAAACTCGTTTTACACACAGGTTTTATATTTACGTACAACGAAGTTTGTAGGAAAGCTATAATAGCAAGAGATCGCTGTCCAATTGCATCCAGATACTCAGATTACTTGCCAAAATCCAGCCGTTCCGCAAGTTGTAACCATAATCTTTTGGCGTTGTAATGCCATTGTATGCAATAAAGTATTGGGTTGTAATGGGTCTACGATTAATTCAAACGTTAATCTAAATCCTAACCCCCAACCCCTAACGCTTTCCCTCCGCGAAAACAACCCAATACTTTATTGCATGCAATTGCATTACAACGCCAATAGATTATTGGTTACAACGTGCGGAACGGGTGAAAATTTTCTTTGTTGACCCACACAAAGGAACAAAATTTGTAAATTGCCAATTATTTCTATGGCAAGTGCACGTCTTCAAAAGCTAGCGCACCATAGCCTTTGAACATGTGAAAAAAATTGCCTCTTAATATCACTCCCAAGCATCGGTGACAGTCCGTGCATCTTTTTACCTGGTCGTGATTGAGAAACTATCCTCTCTTCGACTGACTGTATTCCTTGGTGATGTCTGACAATGGTACCACCCACACTTGTATGAGAAGTACCAATGTCTGGTACCACATAACAACACTGTACTGGTGCATGATTGCTGGTCACTGTACTGGTGACAGAGGTAGCATATGGTGAAAGTGCTGGTGCGTTTGGCAAAGCAGTTTCTGGAACACACCTAGAATACACGATATATATATGCAGTATGTATAACATGATTTCCTTGATTATACGCAGAACATTTTCAATGTTCTCTTGCGCTCCGGGAGGATCTAGCCTCATCTGCAAGGAGGGGTGCAGGTTTTCCATGGGGTGGTGCACGAGGGAGCCTTACTGCCCACTCTCCTCCTCAGTCTGCAACGCTACTATCCCAACATTACCATTATTTGAGATGGCCGAATCTGCATGTTCGCCGTTCTGTTACGTTTTACATTATCTGTTGTTTAATTATAAAGTTTATATCAGCTTTTTATCACGTATGCGTGATTGGACAGTTGCTGTAGCACAGTACAGTAAATTTGCATGTTAAAGTACAGTATATTTGAAACTATGGCTGTATAACAACCTCGACATGTTTACATATTGAACTAAAGCATTCTGAGTATTTTCTCGTGAGCTCATAAATCAAATCAATTTCAACAGTACGCGCTAACAAAAGTACATTCTCTTCATTTCGAATCAGTGGAACAGGGTTCGTACAAAAAGGGTTCGTACTTGGGAGTCCTTGAATGTCCTTGAATTTGAAAACAAAAATTCAAGGCCTTGAATATCCTTGAAATTGTAAAGAAGTCCTTGAAAATCTTTAAATTCTTCTTGCTTTAGTTTATGGATATTTCGGAAATTGTTTGACATTCAAAACGGACGTTTTGTTGAATTGATTTTGCATGTTCATGTCTGACAAAGCTGTTTGAAATTTTTTAAAGTTGCGTCTAGAACAATTTAACGTCACATTTTACTGATTTCTAACGCCTTTTCTTCAGTATTTAGTCCTTGAATTTGCTGGAATGTTCTTAAAAAGTTCTTGAATT